TAATAATAATAATAATAATATAATAAAATATAATATAATAATAATAATAATAATAATAATAATAATATAATAATAAGAGAAAACATGTTTTGAAAGGAATTTAATACTGTTCAAAGGCATAGATCCTTTTCTGAGACCAAGACTGCCTCGGTTGAGAACAGATAAGAATACTGTTCATATCTTGAATAGAGTAAATCATCTCATGACGACCAAGTTGTGTGACATAACCGGTATAACTGATTATCATGACCTAATCTATGCCGGCGCTTATACTGTGATTGAACTGCACCATCAAAGATAAAGCAATCATACAAGCATACTGAACAAAAACCCAGATGGCAGATGAGGATCGAAGGGAAAATAAAAGATCTACGAGCAGCTATAGGCCCCCTTGTTCAGTACATCAAGTCAGATGCCCCGTCCAACCGGTTGCGAAATAAAGTCACAACAATAACCCAGAGACATCATGATGAGGATAATCAAAATCCGATACAGATCCTCGATAAGCTCCAACAAAGGTTGTCTGTATACGCAAATCGCCTAAAGCGATAAAGAGTCGCATCAAAGAAAACTACAAATAGCATATTTCGAACGAATCAAAAGAGGTTCTATCGCTCACTGGAAAACGAAGATGTAAGTACTACGGGTAAAACTCCAGAAGCTAGAGATGCATTAACATATTGGGCTGACCTATGGGAAAACCCTAAGACTCAATAATAAAACAAGTTGCTCACGGACGAAAAGAGGAAAACCGAAAAATACCCATGATGCACTACAACGTCATAACTGTGGAGGATGTTAAAAGATCTATAAACAACACGCAGAACTGGAAGGCGCCTGGACCTGATGGCATCCATAACTATTGGCTCAAAAAGTTCACTTGCACACACGAAACGTTAGCGATGATTTGCACAAGCCTCTTGCAAGATCCAAAATCCATTCCAGCATTTCTGACAACGGGAAACACCTACTTGCTTCCTAAAACATTCCCTTCTGTGAGCGACCCATCAAAATACAGGCCAATTACGTGTCTTCCAACCATATAAAATAATTACTTCAATTTTATGCGATCAAATTTACCAGCACCTTGAAAGGCATCATCTGCTCCCAGAAGAACAGAAAGGCTGCAAAAAGGGAAGTCGTGGCTGCAAAGAGCAACTTACAATAGATACAATCATCACGGAGGAAGCAAAGGGCTGTAAGAAAGATCTGTATGTTGCATACATTGACTATAAAAAGGCCTTTGACAGTGTTCCTCACTCTCTATTAATTGAAATGCTCCAAATATATAAAATCAGCCCTAGTATAGTGAGATTGCTGCAAAACCTTATGCCTCAATGGAAAACTAATCTTGTAATAACCCATAAAGAAGAAAATATCAACATCGGTGTCATCAGCATTAAAACAGGTATCTTCCAGGGAGATGCACTAAGTGCTTTATGGTACTGTATTGTATTAGCACCTCTATCTAGAATGCTGCACAAGAAGAACGAAGTTATAAGCTTCAGAACAACCTACAAATAAGCCATCTAGCTTACATGGATGACATCAAACTAATATCTGCCACTAAGGATGGACTGGACAGGTTGCTTAAAACCATAAAGAAATACAGTGCTGACACAAGAATGGAGTTTGGCCTGGACAAGTGTAAGATTGGGGCTATTAGAAAAGGCATATGGGAAGATCACCCAGGGTTTATGTTGGAGCAGGGTCAGACAATAAGAAGCATGTCTGAGAAAGAGAGCTATACATTTGGGACTAGATCAAGCAAGGGGTATCAAACACAAAGATATGAAAGAAGCTCTAAAGCAAAGATTAACGAGTAGGGTCAAATCAATACTTAAGACTCATCTGTCCGCAATACACAAAGTAAGGGCCATTAACACATATGCTATTCCGACAATAACATATAGCTTCGGAATAATCAAGTGGACAGACTCTGACTTAGAGCAGCTAAACAGAAACATAAGAGTCTTATTTACAAATCATAGAGCAAGACATCCCAAGAGTTCGATCGAAAGATTCTACTTGCCAAGATCCAAAGGGGGACGAGGCGTGATTGACCTTAAAGCAGCTAACCTGCGGAATATAGAAAACCTCAGGAGATTCTTTTATAGAAAGGGCGAAACATCTGCATATCACAGAAATATAGCTTCAGCTGACTACAAGTTCACACCACTGAACCTGTCGGATGAACAGTATGAACCTCTAACCCATGTGACCACCGACGAACAATGGTATCATCAATGGAAGTCCAAACAGCTTCATGGAAGACATCCAGCCATGCTCAGCTCAGATCACATTGATGCAGAAGCGTCACATGGATGGCTGAAGAGTGGGGAGCTATTTTCGGAAACTGAAGGTTTCATGATTGGCATTCAAGATCAGGTGATACCAACCTTAAACTATAGAAAATACATCATGAAAGAAGAAGGCATTGAAGATAGATGTCGTATATGCCATAACAAGTCGGAAACAATAGAGCATATCCTGACGAGCTGCACTCCCCTAGCTTCCACTGAGTATCTGAAGCGCCACGACAACGTGGCTAAAATAGTTCACCAAGAAATTTGTTATGCTGCGAACATACTAACTGACCGCACCCCATATTACAAGTACCAGCCGACTCCAGTTATAGAAACTAACAGTCATAAAATATACTGGAATAGAACAATTCAAACAGATCACACCATGGAATACAACAAACCAGATATCGTAATTCAAGATAAAATGAAGCAAGTTACCTGCATAATTGACATTAGTGTGCCTGCCCCACATAACATAGCTGAGAAGCAGACAGAAAAGGTTCGCAAGTACTTACCACTAGCTGCAGAAGTAAAAACACTGTGGAATCAGAAAAAGTTGAAGTCATCCCAATAGTGATCGGAGCCACAGGAGAAATACCTAAGAGTCTACATAAATATATTGAGAAACTAAATCTGCCGCAGAAACTATACCTCTCACTTCAGAAAGCTGCTATCTTAGGTAGTTGTCATATAGCACGCAAGGTCCTGAATGTAGCCACATAGACAAAGAGAAACCAATAGTCACACTCAGACGCTTGCAGTATAATGCCGCGTTTGAGGATACCACCTGCAGTAGCAGAGAATAGCTAACAGAAAACGGAATAAGAAGATAATAATAATAATAATAATAATAAAATATAATAATAATAATAATAAGATAATATAATAATAATAATATTAATAATAATAATATAATAA